CGCTTAAACGACCTGTTGTTGTCACAGATTTACAAAAGTTTTTCGTAAAATATATGAAGAACGACTCCTTGCCGAGTATAGCCCATGCTCACCTGGCACAAGCTGATTATCAGAAGCAAGGTATTAAGGATGCCAAATGTAAGTATCTTGATTACGCTCTGCTTTTGTTTTGTTGTATTTTATACTAACGTCACCCTCAGGTCTCGAGCTCGCGGAACTACATTCCAAGGCCGTTGACTACGTTAAAACTGGTCAACCGGCCACGATGCGAAAAGAGCTAGCCCCTCCAAAATGGCCACATTTCATGGAAAAGATCCATCAGCCTGCATCAAAACAGTATCATTCCCAGAAAATTCTTGGTCAACTGTACGACAAGGTTGAGAGCGTTGACTTCGTACCACAATACGAAGAACCTTTTGACAAACGTATTTTGAGGGCTTACAAACTAGACAGTGCCATTCTGAAGGCTGCCCGTCAGACAAAGACGAAATACGACACCGCTATGCGACGAATTCTAGCCCAACAAGACATCAAGACTGAATTTGAAGTGTGGTCCACGTTTATCCTTTCCAAGCCAAAAGTCGGAAGTGACTACAAACTTCAGGAAGATATGGCAGTGATAACCGGTGCACTCAAAGATAGATTTCGCACGGTGTGCATCAATGTAGCTGGTGGTAAAGACTTCTCAATCCTCGGGCCATTTGTTGCTGCCATGTACAAAGTGACAAAGGAAGAACTCGACATCGCATTGGCCGAATGCCGTTCAACAAGAACGGTTAACGGAATAACGTTGAAAAGGCGAAGAATGAGACCTGAATCAATGCCATTGATCAGTTTCCCATGGTTGTTCGAGAAGGAATTGGGCAGGATTGCTACTGGTATTGAAGCCATAGATGACTTCGAAAAAATAGGGTTCTCTACCTTCAGCATCGAGAAGCCTCAGGTCACAGCGCTGAATCATCAGCCGCAGCGATCTAAGCAAGACGAAGATTTTGTTAAGCAAGAGAATGGTCTTATTGTTCACCGTGGTGAAATTCTTGACGTGTTCCCAGAGAACTCGGACAACGACTTTCCTTGGGACTCTGACGCGATGTCTGACACTTCTCTGCCAGACTTTGTAGCCTCTGGCCAGCCAATGTCAAGAGACGGAGTAGAGTCTACCACAGTCGAAGCTTCTTCCGAAGGCACGAACCAAACTTCTACGCTTCAAGACAATGTACTCCCGCAAAATTTACAAAGCCAGAACCAGGTATCAAAAAATACAGAGCACGAAGAATTAGACATTACGACTGAATTTATTGACCAGGAAATCCTCACGCCATCTTCATCAGTCCAGAGCTCCTCACCAGAAGCCCCTGTCACAACAACCAAGTCTGATATAAGCCTCTCTGATGATGAAGAGACCGAAGAACATGTCGAGATCATAGAAAGTGTCGTTCGCGAGCGTTCTATGATCGACAGACTATCGGCTTTCGTGGACTAATAAACTCTCTTTTAAACTTTCGAAAGAATTTCAAACCTCGTTACTTGATGGATAATTTCGTTGAATTTCTACCTTTCTTCCTTTGTTTTTTTCTAATCTCCCTACTGCCCGTTTAAGAGTGTCCAAAAGTGCATTTCACTGCGTTGAAACTTCACTGCCGGTACCCCGTGCCGCAAAGTTTAGCTTTGATGCAGAAAATGCTCGAGATATTGATGGAACAGCATAGATGACTCAGTTTGCGTGGTGTTTTCTTTCTTGCCCAGGAGGATTTCAGTTTTATTAGCTAGGGAGGAATTGAGTGAGCGGGTCTGAAAACTAGTTACATGGGATTGCATAGCAAGCTAGCGAGCGACGATTTGGTGTTCAATCTTACGGTCAACGAATTAATGAAAATCACGATACATAACCATTGCTCTCTGTAAAATGATGATGTCGATTTGAACTTTATCAATGAATTTCGTGAGTTGATCTGATTACATATTATGCGATCCCCCTCCCCCCCCCCTTTGTCTTTGTTTTCCCACAGCCGAGGAATCGACAGCCCATTTGCAGAATGAATGAGTGAATCATCGACAAAATGTACATTACTTCTCTAGTGGACTGGTTCTTTTAGAGCCACTGCATACACAATTCGAAATTTCGAAAAATATGCACGACACTTGAAGGGATAATATATAATATAATTTTAATTGGCATGAACCTTTCTTGTACAATTTGTAAATGCAACTTTTAAATTTTGAAACAACTGGGTATATGACCAGTCCTTAGATATAGCCCTTAAGGACTGCAGCTTCTGCATTCAATATCGAAGAACCAGCAGCCCCAATAACAGCTAACGATGGTGTTAGTCCCTGAGCATTGTAAAATTGGAAAGGGAAGGGAAACTTACTGTTATGACTCAAGGCCACAAATTTGAGATCAAAGATTCCGCTATCATCTTCTCTGACTCTTCCAACACTGACCGTGTATCCATTCTGTGTATTGCGATCCAATCTTGGTTGTGGCCTATCCGCTTCCTCCATAACGGCGATCGCTGGCTCTGGTGCTGACGGACATCCCAATGTTTGCGCCTCACTGACATATTCCCTCATAGCCTTCTTTACCTCTTCCGCGGTAGGTTTAGGTCCATCGCGGTTCTTGAAACGAAGAGATACGCAAGCCATATGTCCATCTAGAACTGCGACTCTGTTGCAAGCCGCTGAAATCTTCAATTCTGATTGATCCTCAAATCCAGTGACTTCAGAATTGACCCTTCCGAGAATCTTCTGTGCCTCCGTCTCTAACTTGTCTTCCTCGCCGGAGATGAATGGAACAACATTGTCGAGGATATCCATACTGCTCACACCTGGATAGCCGGCACCGCTAACAGCTTGCATGGTGACTACGCTCACTTGGTCGACTTCTCCGAAAGCTTTTTGGATGGCGGCGAATGGGATGACTATGCCGATGACTGCGCAGTTGGAGTTGCAGACGAGGAAACCCTTCTTTAAGGAGTGGGCGCGACGTTGGTGGGGAATGAGATCGAAATGGGGAAGGTTAACTGTAGGGACGATGAGGGGAACGATTGGATCGCGACGGTAGTTTTTGGCATTGGAGAAGACAGCCAATTCAGCCTTCATGAATTCCATCTCTAGATTAATAGTTTAAGTAAGCATTGCCCCTAATAACTCTGTCGTCTCACAATGGGAATTTCCCAAAGAGCGAGGAACTGTGGCTGTATTTGAGGGTCTCATACCAATGTCACCAGCAACATCAGCATCCAATCCACTGAACACAATGTCACAATCCGCAAACTCGCTTGCTTTACATTCCTTAACGACTAGATCGCCAATCTCGGCGGTCATGGGGAAAGCTTGTTTCCATTTGACAGCATCTTTGTACTTCTTTCCTGCGGACCGCGAAGAAGCTCCTACGGCGTGGAGTTTGAAATATGGATGTTGAGCAAGAAGAAGAATGAATCTTTGACCGACGGAACCGGTGCATCCAAGTACACCTAGATTAGATTAATCAGCGTATGTCATGCGGGAGGCTGGAATGGGAAGGTAGGTAGTGAAGATGTATGAGAAGTGGTGAGAGTTGTGAGAGTTGTGAGGAGGGGTATGTTTGAGTTAACTAACCACAACGCTTGGTAGGAAATTGAGTGACCATTGTGTGCTATTTGATCTGGCAGTGAAAATATGAATATTAATAGTATCTATTGCGATGATCAAGAAAAGTGAATCTATGAAAGATATAACAATTTAGAAGGTTTATAGGTTGTGACTGTTTTCATTGTGATAGAAATCATAGAAATCATAGTGGGGGTGGAGAGTAAGGCTGGACTATTTTTTTGTGGGGTGCCGACGTCGGGCATGCAAGGCTGAAGATATTTCTTCATGTACCGGTAAATATAACAAAATTTTGCCACATACAAGTTCTTTTGGAAATGGAATCGAATCGAGTCACGTTATGGAAAGATTGATTTGATATTCAGATCAATAGTTTGGGAGTCTTCGATGAATACATACAACAAGGCAATTAGCAAGACATGTCGCTCTGGGTGTGCTACTCAAGACTAGTCTTTGCCTTTCATATACATACATGTCGCCGAAACCATCAGGGTAGAGTGGGTTCATTATTTTGAGTTATAGCTAATTTTTCTATTATACATCCATCCCCGTTTGTCGTAATCGTCAAATTTGGGCCCCTAATATTGACTTGCGGTGTTCTGGCACGCTTTCTGTAAGGAACTGTTAGCCTGACTCTGGGTCCAAAAGAGTATAGGTTCGTCCATACCAATTGCTCCAAATACCAGTTGCAAATAGACATGTTTCCTTGGTTCTCGTCCATGCAGTTGGTAAAGCTCTTGACCTGGAAACCGCAGTTTGGTTCGCCAAATTGGTTCTTCTCTTGACCTTGGGATGCTACAGCATTATCCTGAGCTGCTTCGGGTGCGCTAGATCCACCGCCGAAGAAACCTGTGATGGCGTGGCCTAATGAAGATCCGATGGCGACACCTCTGCACGAAAGAGATCAGTATGCAACTTTGGAAATGATATCTGGCGCAATGAAAACTCACGCTGCAGTGCTAGCCACTTGTCCAAGCAAACCTGGACCAGAAGAACCTTGAGCTTGTGGAGCTCCTGCTTGTGATTGAGGAGCGGCTGGAGGAGCTGCACCTGCTGGCCTTGGTGGGTATGCAGCAGTGGTTGCTGGTCGGGTTTGCTGGGCGGAAGGTGAAGGTCTGCTTGGGGCTGAGACAGTTGGTCGAGATGGGGCGATTCCCCTTCCAGATCTTCCTTGACGAGGCATATTTAGTTGATGAAGTGAGAGATGTAGATTTAAGGTTTTAGGTGTGATTATACGGTTTTGCCTAGAGAATTGTTGAAGTTGTTGAATGCCGGCCAATAAGATACTTGACAATTTAATCCCGGAATATAGTCCGCTTGACACGTGCTAATACTGATTGGGTTAGTTCAGCCTTAATGTACCTGTACTGGCAATGTGCAATAGATGAATTCTAGATGGCAAAACTTTATGAGATTTCTCGAGTACAATTATATAGAGTGAACTCTAACAACCATGAAGAGGATGTTCAAAACACATAAACCGCATTTTCTTTATGAGCAACAAACAGAATCTTGAGCGAAGAACACCCAGTAGATAGGTGTTTATTGTTTCTTTCTTTCGTAAATCTAGATATTTGTTGCCCAATAACTCAAACCCTAAAGCTATCCTATTTTGCCGTGACAAATCATGGTATCATCCCTAAGCCAGTTCCATAAACGCCCTTTTAGATGTGCATGTATCCGGTGACTTTCATATCCATTTACATAGCCATATACATATCCATTCACCAAATCGTTCTAGTTCTTGCTCTTGCTCTTGGCCTTCTTGGATTTACTCCTTATTTTCTTCTCCTGAGTTTCCTGCTTAGATTTTTTGGGTTTAGAATTAGAGGTGGAAGAGCTATCCTCTTTGGACTCGGTAGGGGTTGCTGCTACCTTCGCAGTCTTAGACTTTTTGCTTTTATGTGCTGCAGGTGCAGGTTCATCTGAAGAATCGGAAGGCGAACCGGAACCATCAGATTCAGTTGAGGTTTTGGATTCTGTTTTATTGGGTTCCGTTGATTCTTCGCCCACCTTTCTCTTTTTTGATAGCTCCTCAAATCTGATATGAGACTTCGCTCTCTCCTTCGCCAATTGCTCTGCTCTTTGAAGATCATATTTATCATTTCCGCTCTGTATGCACTGTTAACATGGGTTCCAAACCCCGACAATTGAGAAAGAGTAGAAGCTTCCTTACCAATCCTGCTTTGATGAATCTTCCAGCAGCTCCTTTATCCAATTTGAGATTTCTTTCTGCTGCAGTTGCCGGTGGATTCTCTGTAACCTTTATTTTCTCAAAATACTGCTTCATCCGAGTAAGCTCGGTGAAAACAGGATGTTCACGGGCATTGACACCATTAAGTCGAAGGTATGCTATCGAAATGAATTAGTATAGAAGTACGAAATGCGACAGAGATGAAAGGATGGAAACTCGTACAGAATAATATGGACTCAATGGCATATGTGACAAGAGTATAAAGCTTTGCCTTATCCAATAAAGGTAACTTGCTTGCAAACTCTGGGATAGTCTTTTGAATGAAAGGCGCAACCGCATCTTCTATATCATCGATATCGTCATCAAGTTGCTCGAGCAAAGAAAGAATCTTGGTCGGATCCATTATAGAAATTTAGTTGAACGTGTTATAGCGAATATGATTGACGTAGCATGCGCGATCGAGAGGAACCTAGATATGTATTTGTGTTTTGGATTGGATGGTAATTAATGTATCAATTCATTCATTCGTATTCGTAACTTTTGTCCTTTGACTTTCAACTTTCCACCACCTGCATTCATATTAGAAAATTTGGGAAATGAGTTCCGACGCTATCGGGCATCGGAAAAAGGCGGCCGCATTCAGTTGCATTGGAATTGAAGTCTTCCAATTGGATTACATGTTTGCTTTACAGGGATTTTCGATAAATATTCTTTACTAAAGTGTTTAATCGACATTTTTTTCGATTCCGAATATTTGATTGTAAAGTGATATTTGGGACTTGAATCTCTCTCATCATATCTATCCAACTCAACTTTTGCCTCCCATTTGAACACTCACTTACTGTTCCTTTATATCTTGTCCATGTTCGAAGTCTACATATTGGATGTAACTAGACTTCAGTCTTGTTTTGTACTAAGCCGAAATCTCAGATATCTCTCAAGCTAGCTTCACCCCTCACCGAACGGATCTTCAACATACATTTCGCCTCATTTTACTGAACCTCGACAAATTCTACTCTCCATCGTTGTCCACTGCAAGATAACTTCTTACCCTTTTGCGGATGTGTAGAAGGACGTGAAGGCTTCCTTTTCTTGCTTTGGTTTCGAGTGCAGACAATTGCAACAACGAAAGAGTAGACATCTTGATTCTGCTTGTCTGCCATGAGTTCATTGTAATAACCATTGAGAGTGTTCATCCTGTCTTTTCCAAGGTGCGGTCGTCCGCTGTGGCGGGTGCTTGCTCGAAACCCTCAAAATTGTCGATGGCTCTCAGGTAGCATTACCCTGGGCCGGGTGGCCACTCGCACTTGGTCGAGACATAACGAGACATACTGGTGGCCAAGGCGGAAAGGAGGATTGCACGCCAGCTTGTCATTCGTTTGGGGTTCAGAGAGAGATACCACTACCAGCGGACCTTCGAGGAGTTACGGGAGCAAAAGCGATGGAGTTTATGCGAGCGAATGGACTGCAGACAAAGATATCACCAATCAAGAGGACAGTAACAAAAGAATCACGCCCGACGATCATACTAGCGCTATGGATATAGAGTCACAAGAAGTGCGGGAATTGGAATTAGATAGCGAAGAAGGGAACGATTCATCATCATTCGATCTCGCTTACTCGCATCGCTCTTCGAAATGTGAGGCAAACAAGAGCTTGTCGGTTGAAGAGCTGCAGGATAGGAATGACTTAGAAAAGCTTGAGGTTGTTGATGTCTCCGACATTGGGCCCGAATATTTGCATTCACCGGGCATCCTAGTTACGAATGTGAAATATGCCGACCAAGAATCACCTGCAATGTCCTCTCACCAGCATGGGCAGGAACCTTTAAATTCAAGACAAGTCACCAATCTTCAGTACAAATCCACTTCCCAAGATTCAACACGCCGAGAGGACACGCCTATATCGCGCACAATCCATGTTCTAGGAACAGGGCCTATTGGACAATTCATTGCATATAACCTTGCTGAAATGGATTCTCCGCCGCCTGTTACTTTACTAATGCACCGGCCACTGTTGATTCAACAATGGCACCACTCGCGTCAGGTTCTCAGAGTATGCAAGAATGAAATCATAACCGAGCAATCCGGTTTCGATGCTGAACTATCCGCAAGTTTCAATATTCCTGGGCTCCAGCCAGAGACTAGTGCCACTGAGCATAGGCTTGGATACACGAACGAGGTCATAGATAACCTAATCATTACAACGAACGGCGACAAAACAGTGGCGGCACTTACATCCATCAAGCATCGTCTCCGGCCTCATTCAACCATATGTTTTGTGCAGCATGGAGCGGGTGTTATCGACGATGTTAACAAACATGTTTTCCCAGATTTGCAGGATCGTCCTCATTACATGCTTGGTAATTTATCTCATGGATTATTTGCCACGGATCAGCTATGGACTGTGGCCCAAACCACCCAGGGAGAGCTGAAGCTTACGATTCCTCAACATGATACCAGTGCGCCCTCAAACGAACCTTTGTCCCAAAACGCAGACAGGAAGCTCACAAATAACTGGGCACCATCTTCAAGATACATGTTAATGTCATTGAGTCGTTCTCCTGATCTTAAAGCTATAGGCTTGAACTATCCTGACTTCATGAAATTCCATCTCGAATATGTTGTTGTCAATTCCGTCATTGGGCCGTTATCTGTCATTTTTGATTGTTCAAACGACCAGCTGTTGTACAATTACCAGGCGAGTCAGACAATGAAGTCCCTCTTGTGGGAAATCTCGTTCGTTGTGAGAAGCCTTCCGGAGCTTGCGACAGTGGCAAATCTTAACAAATGTTTTGGCAACCGCAGGTTAATGAGCATGATACACTCGGTGCTTGCTCGTAGCGGGAAAAATGTTACATCTATGTTGCACAACGTCAGAAGTGGAATGAAAACGGATGTCGACTTCTACAATGGCTATCTCGCTCGGAGAGCAAAAGAATTGAACATTCCGTTCTCTTCGAACGAGTTAGTCATAAGTATGGTTAAAGCAAAACAAGCTATGAAGTCGAGGGAGATGAATTCATATATACCCGCAGTTGATCGGAGATAGATGGAATGTAAAGACACGCTGGGTTTTTGGGCGAGCGAACTGGGTATGTTTTACCATGTAGGAGTGTACGTTTATGTTAGAATTAGCAACACCTGTATATTACGTCTTAGAAATCTTATATACTCGGTCACTCGCAAAAGCGATACTTTAGATTATAGACCAATGAATAATGCACTTATACCTCTCTTGCAAATTCATTCATCAATGCGCTACTTTATCTTGCTGTGGTCAGTCGACAAGAGGTTTCATGACTTATGAAATTTATTAACAAGCCCAATGGCATGTTACTTTGCACCCGGTGAGCCACCATCATGTGTGTTTGAACCCAAACTCAAGGCCTCAATGAGCTCTTATTTGAAGATGCTTTCCAAATACTAGAGATTGATCTTAATTTCCTGATTATGATAATGTTATAATTGAATTGAATTTGCATCTGAATGAAAAATAAATATTAATCAATTTATCGTGGAATTGAAAAGTTATAATTCACAGTTGTGGTATGATGTCTTTTTTGTCCAACGAGGGGTTGTCAATCATGGCATTCGCCAAAGATTAGGTACCGCAAGGCTGATATCACAAAGTTACCACACCCCTCATTTTCTTCAACCAGGACAAAAACCACGCACATTCAACACCTTAATTATGGAAGACGACGATTTGGCACAAGTATGTCTCTGGGAAGGTTTACTCACGACCTAATACTAATTATTCTTTAGATTAGAAAAGCTCGTCTTGAGCAGCTGAAAACCCAAGGCGGAGGAGCAGGTGGTAGACCAGGCGCAGCAGGCGGCAGTGGAGGACAAGAAGATGGCAGACAGTGCGCTTGACTTTATCGAAGATTTATATAAATTACTAACCGTTTGCGCCATAGACAGCAAGAAGAAGCGGCTCGCCAATCCATCCTGACCCAAATTCTCGAACCCGAAGCGGCAGATCGTCTAGGTCGCATTAGACTTGTGAAGGAGTCGAGAGCGGTCGATGTTGAAAATCGCTTGATTATGTTGGCGCGTTCCGGACAGTTGAGATCGAAGATTACGGAGGAACAGTTGAAGGATTTGTTGAGCAGTGTGTCGGAGGCTCAGGAAACTAAAGAAAAGATTGTGGTTACCAGGAGGAAGGGTGCTTGGGATGATGACGATGATGATCTTTTCGACTTGTAGTTTGTGGTTCGGAAATTAGGGAACATATAGTGAGCAGATATTTCAGGAATGAAATCCATAATGCTGGGACAATCTTTGGCCTCCGAGGAAAAGGAGTTAATATTGCGAAATTTTGGGAAATCTACTACTATGGTATCAAATTACTGTGCTATCAAGTCCTCCTCAAGTTGCCTTTTGGGCCTTCTTTCTCTCCTTCTCCATCCGTCTGATATCTCTAAGATCAAGAGGCTTTTCAATGCCTAACTCTTCTCTTAATTCTTCCACGCTCCTTTCCAGCTGCTCCTCCCAATAAACATTAATAACCTCCTCTGCTTTCAACCCATTCGCAAACGCCCAAGGCGCATATATTGTAAAGAATCTCCTCCTCTCTGCTGGCTTCAATGACATCACAGCAAACATACTCAGACCCGTCATTGGTAACAGCGTATTAGCAAACTCAAATGCCTTGAGCGCCACTTCGCCTTCCCTCACAATAGGTAAGCCCGTTATAGCATGATAGAAGTCGTGACATTCGCGATACCTCTGCATAACATATGCGCATTCTTCGTCATCGATATATTTTACTGAATCTCGTGTATCGGGGGAAACTCCCTCGCGGTCCAACCATTCTGCGTAGCACCTGCCTACAGTGTTTGGAGGAAGCGCCCGGAGACGTGACATAGAAAGGGTCTTGGAAGATATCCTAGGGCGATCGCGAAGTATGCGTCGACCGGTAGGAGAAGAGAGCATAGCATCGCGAAGACGGTATATGAAATATGGTGTTGCGGTAGCTTCTCCACAAGCTGCGATTAGATCTAATTTCCCGGGTTAGTTGAAAGTAAATGTGGTTTTGAATGATCAATTCATACCTGCACGATAAGGATTAAAGAATGCCATTACTGCTGAGCCCACAGCCAAACCACCCCGCTCAATGGAAGTAAGTGGTACATGGCCTGGATAATTTGGAGCTGGACGGTGCAATACACTGAAGCTTCTTATGGCTAGAGTAATAGAGCAGGCGGTAAGCAATTCCCTGGGAAGGCGGGACGCCTGGTTATATAGACGAGGAGACAATGACATGTTCGAATTGTATTTTGAATTGACCCTTCCAATGTTGACGGGGTGGGATGCTACTGTAGATCAGCTTCAATTATATTGCCTGCCGCCCTGTCGTCGAGATAGCTCTCAGCAAAAGCAGCACTGGGAGAAGACTTTAGTGCTACAATTTACTTGCGCGTAACAAATGATGGATGAGATTTACACTGAATAATTGATCTCGGTGTACGAATGTTCTTTTACTATATGCCTATTTCTAGTAGTTCTAGGTGAAACTTGTGGAAATCATCAACATCACGGATCAGTCATATATCACGATTTCAGATCTTCTGCAGCGAGCAGCCCCTTCGTCTGACTACGGTGCGAGCATGGACATGCAAGTACATCAAGAGTTCACAAAATGGGCTGTGAATCAAGGTGTCGTTATCAATAATGTTTCGCCTTTCCGGTTTCCAGAAAAGGGTCTGGGACTAATAGCGAACAAGAATTTCGAGGTAAAATAAAAGAGCTGCTATATGGAATACCACCCCTCTCGAAAAGTCATGTGCTTGCTAATCTGTAGTAGATAGGTGATACTCTGGTGCAGGTCCCCATAAAGGCACTTCGTAAAGCTACGGATGTACCTTCGCAGTTTGCAGCGCTGGCACGGGAACTAGCTGTTCATGCTCTCTTCGGTCTATCTCTGGACTCACTGCTCGGGCCGGAATGGAAAGCTACTCTCCCTTCTAAACTGGACATGCATAGTTCTATGCCTTTATTCTGGGATCTCTCATTACAAGAGCTTCTTCCGTACTCATCCCAAGCTCTTCTTAAAACGCAAATGGAAAAAATCACTTCTGCTTGGACGATCATCTGCAAAGCATTTCCAGAACCACCCATAACCTACGATGAATTCATGTACAACTACAGTATTATCAACAGTAGGACATTCTACTACCTTTCATCGATCATCAAATCATCTAAACCACTACCATCTAAAGAGAATCGTCTTGCGTTGAATCCCTTCGCAGACTACATAAATCATAGTTCAGAACCCACGGTTGATGCGACTCTATGTCGCGCTGGCTACACACGTGAGCAATATCATTCCTTTACTGTTATATCACTTAATATATATATATCTTCATCCTAACCTCCATAATATGATCTGTGGAACAACTAAACCTCTCCAGAAGTCTTCGCCTAAACTCATTCCAGAGACTCATCAGCCATCGCTAACCCCTAACAATCTAGTCACGGCCTCGCAACCCATCAAGCAGGGCTCCGAAGTGCACATTTCATATGGAAGTCACAACAACGATTTCCTTCTCGTCGAGTATGGCTTTATACTCGAAGACAACCGCTGGGACGAGGTAACTCTGGATCCCTGGATAACACCATTACTAAACGGAGAGCAAAAAGAGCACCTCCAAGAGATGGGGTTTCTCGGTAAATACCTCCTGGATCGAGACACCATATGTTATCGCACGCAAGTAGTCCTCAGGATTATATGTCTGCCGATAGGTAGATGGAGAAGATTCGTACAGGGATCTGAGGGCGAAGAGGTGTCACAGGAGGCTGCGGATGAAGTTTTATTGAAAGTACTAATGGCTGGTAAGATGGAGATGATGGAAACAATCAAAAAGATAGACGAAAGCCAGGCAGGACTTGAAAGTCAAAGGAATACGTTGACCAGGCGCTCGAACCAAATTATTTTGTTGCTGAATAAAGCGTTAAATCGAATTGAATGCTAAACTTCATGAATTTTAACTTTGCGTTGTGTGATGGACTTCTTGAGAAGGCCCCTCAAATCTACTAAATCATAGCATGAGAGCCATCTTGTGCCTTGCAATACCCTTTAGTCGTCTTCGAAGGGCGAGTATTACTGACACTCGAAGCATCGTGCGAAATGGGTCAAAAGGGGTCGGTGCAACTACACAGAAGGTGGAGACTTAGTGAAAAGCAATCATCTGACAGCTCAAAATACATTCATCGTGTGAATCACACTTCTATGGTACATGCTTTATTTTGAAATACAAGTTAAGAACTGAAAGTGCTCATTATTCCAAATGTCAATTATGTCAGATTCCCGAGTTCAACGCCCTTTCCGTTATCTATACCTCATTCTGGTCTTGGTCTTTTGGCGCCGTGTGGATTCTGCCAGTCACCCCCAGCGCTTTGATTTTGTTGAAAGAACGCAGGATTGAAGTGTGGTTGCATAGGTTGGAAGGCATTCCCGCCTAATTTCTCGAGTCAGTAATAAATCCCATGGCCACTTTTGTGGTATTTAATCTCAACTGATAAGTAACTGTTTGGACGTACCTTGCATTGCACCACCCATTTGTGCCATATTACCCATGTTCATAGGCATTCCCATTCCGCCCATTCCGCCCATGGGCATACCTCCCATGGGCATACCTCCCATCATATTATTTCCCATTCCTCCTCGGCCGCCTCTCATACCTCCAGGGCCACCCCGCATGCCACCCATCATACCTCCACGATTGAATCCACCAAATTGATTTCCCATAGGGTTCCCCTGGAATCCGCCACCCATTGAAGAATTAAAGCCCCCGCCCATGGATCCTCCTGAGCCTGAAAAGTTACGGTTGAAATTGCCTTGATTCATGTTGTTGTTCATGCCTCCACGAGAAGAGTTGTATCCACCGCCACGACCGCGGAAATTACCACCAAAGTTGCCTGAAGTATGACTGCCCCTTTCACTGTTGTAACCTCCTGGTCCTGAGTTTGATCGACTATTTTGGCCTTCTTTCGTGGCGCGGGCTGGCGCGTCTTTAGGTAACGTGCGGAATGGATTGACATTTGGATTGTGGAATGTGACTGTCTGCTTCTTCACATATTGGTGACCTTCACCGAAAGCGTCAATCTTTCGTTTCACTGCCGTTGCAGCTTGTTGGGACGCAAATTCGACGTAGGCCTGTCTGGATAGAGAGTCAGTAGATGCTCGGCATTGGAAGATACGGTGTGTAGTTAATTACCCCTTGCTCTTTCCATTAACCTTGTGCTCGGAGAAAGTCATCTCCTTCAGCTCATCTTCGACTTGAGCCTGATTGATCCATCCCCGGATATCATCGTCGGTATTCCACCAATGTAATTCTGATATGAGCAAGGCCGTAGTCGCACCTTGATCGATTGGGCGATCGTCGGAGCCTTCCTTTCTCTTTACACCTTGTTGTTGAGGGGCCTGCTTGGGTATGTTGAGAATATCTCTTCCAGATTCGTCGGTACTCTTTATCTTTTGTTGACCTTCAGCGAGTTCATCCTTCTCATGACTAACCTTGATATCTACATAATCGTCATCTTGTTCTTCGTGTTTACCATTAGTTTCGGCAGCTGGTGCGACAGAAGGTTCAACGCCGTCAATCTTGACATCACCTTCATCATCTTTCTTGAAAATTGTATCCTGTTCAGTGTTGGTATCTCCATAGATATCAATGTCGAACTCGTCATCAGCCATGGCGTCTGAATGTGCACACGAGGTACCTTGACTTTCAAGTGAAGGGTGAGTTTTGGTTGACAAAATGATGTTTTGTATTGCTTATGAACAGTTTGAGTTGATGTTATGCCACAGGAAATTGGATTCTGTGAGAAAATAGAAACAGGATCAGCGGGTGAAAACAGAAGAAGGGCCATGGGATGGTAAAGGTCAACGCATGTATAGCATTGGAAGCAGAGTCTGAAATACATGGGATAGAATTCAATGAATACGTACACTCCTAAAACCTGGAGGATATTGCTTCAATAAATGAGGTCAAAGTCCGAGAGCCTTCTTTGGCAACTACAGACAGAATGGAGATAAAAGACGAAGCTCTGTGCTTGCAGTCTCTTTGAACTTTTGATGTAAAGAAGCCCAACAGATGAATAAACCTCCTATGCCGAAATATTGGAAGAAAGAGGCGAGGCAAGAAAATTGTAATCCAGCCCGAAATTGAAAAGCAGAAATGAAGATGTCAGTTGTCCAAATGCCTTGTTCATCAATAGCAGAAGCACCGAGTGACCGAAGCCTTGCTGTACAATTCCGTCCCTCAAGTAACCTTCACGTCCAGTGTTGACCGATTTGCTTGTTTGGATTGGGTGTATTGAGTTGAGCGGGTGGTGATTGATTGAATGAATGCGACGGAATTCTCGAGTCGATGTGAAGGGTCGCAATTGATATCTCTCGTTAGAACTCTGAGGTACGAGTATAGTACTTGACAACTGTAAGTCGAGTCGAGTGTGTGTGGGTGGTACTTGTGTTCACCATGAAATGTAAATCGATTCTGAGGGCAGAATGTCTCTATTGCTATATTATCGAATTATATGGAAAGAAAGCTGTGCTGTGAGAGTTCCATACAATATTTCAATGTTGGGCGCGGTATCGCGATGAGCTGAAATCCTCGTAGCTCGAGAGACCGGTAGGGTGGGTATTTGAGGAAGTAAAGATCAATGATGATTGAGAAAGGGCATGTAAAATAAACAAGAAAGGAAGGTTTGGCACTTTTTACGCCGTTGTCGATGAAGATGACCAGAGCGACGATAATATCAATATGGAGAGAGTTGAGGGAAGTGGAGGTTGAATCTCTTTCTTTGATTCTTTCTTCTCCTCTACTGTTAGATTTCGCGCGTCGCTGAGCTTCAATACCTTTTCTACCTTTTACTAAAATGGCCCAGTGCTAATTTGTTACCAGGAGCCAGGCAAGGTACTGGTGCTGGTGCTGGTGCTGGTGCTGGCTGGTATTGGTGCTAACTAAAACTAAAACTAAAACTAAAACCACGACTGTCTTAGGTAATCATTCTTAAGTAATCAATCTTATTGATGCCTAAGGTATGACAGTCGCAACCTCATGCTTCCAATCGCTTTCGGATTTTGAAGGTTCTCATTGGCCCAATCTACTTGCTTTAATTTCTTGAGCCTACCTTATCTGGCTTCTTCGAAATTCCCCCCAACTTCCTAGTTTAGTATATCTATTTGCTTCACTCGCAACAGAATTGAAAATCTTGGTCAATCATACACTTTCAAAGTTGCCAACACTGAAGCCTTGATTCGAAACTCTCGAGAATCAATTATCTACTTCCTCAAGCCCAACCTCAACTCCTCAACTTCTTCACAACCATGGCAGACCAAATTCAAGAGTTTATGGAGATTCCAAGAGACTTCATCAAAGATGGTACTCAATTTGTCAATAAATGCACCAAGCGTAAGAATCAGTATTTGCCATTGGTTTCATCGGGACATGAGATTCTAACAGATTATAGCTGATCGTCGCGAATTCCTCAACATCGCTCGAGCTGTAGCCATGGGATTTCTTATTATGGGAGCTGTCGGATATATCGTGAAATTGATCCATATACCACTCAACAACATATTGGTCGGTGGCGCATAGTTTGGGGATGGACAATGGACGATAGTTTCTGCACTACGGTGACTTGGTCGTTCGTGGGAAAGGGGAGAATTGAACCGGCACCGAACAAGGGCGAGATGGACGAGATGTTGGGCGTATAAATGGATGGAGTTTCTCTCAAAATCTAAGGATGTATTATATTTGGCCTTGGTGGCAGTTATTGTTCCTGGCATTGCTTGCGCCTGGAACAAATGGTCCTGCATTTCCAAAGTTGAATGGGACTATATTAAATGATATCCGGCACATTGTCAAAACAGCCACCGTATATTGTGAGACTTTTTTGTTGTGAAGAACGCTGGATGAAAGTTGAAGTAGCGATTTGATTGACGCTTTACATTATTCCGGCACCATGTTGAATCTAAATCACTGGCGATGCGTTCGGATGGGAAAAGCACTTCAAACCCAAGTAGGTATGAATGTACCAGGAAATGCCTTGACATGAGTAAATAAGCTGGCAACAGATATGAATTATCGATGCTTCATTACCTTGAAGCCAAAGTACAGTGTTGGCCTGGGGTCTGAAAACTTACAATGCTTCTTACCAACTTCATCTCTGACGCTTAGCTCATGAACGAGATGATTGGAGGTACGCTTCACAAGATGAAAGGGGGATGAGAAGAAGGAGCACATAACGGGGGCCACTCCCAACTGGTGTTTCTAATACAGGGAAGGCATATTACTCCCTCATTGGATGGTGTAATGTTTAGCAGTTTGTCAGAAGCTCCCAGGGTGGTGGGTTGAGAAAATGTGAACAGAAAGAAGGAAGGATGTAAGGATGTAAGGAAGTGCAACAATGGTGACTTGGGGTATAACACAGATATTGAAGGGTAGAGAAAGGCAGAGAAAGGTTAATGAGGGGATAATAATGCTTGAGGGGGTGGATGCTCGATACCAAAATCGAGGAGAATAGATCAAGTACCTACATAGGTAGTTAAGCTAGGTACCTAGTCATTGCTAGCGCGAGATGTATTGAAAAGACAAACTGGACGATAATATGGCGTTATACTCGTTATGGTCGAGTGTGACTATTCAGATAATACCTAAGCTCGAGCTCAGATATCCAGTTGTACTGGACAACATGAAAGGATGAGAATACATTTCGAGGATATATACTTCTTGACAATTAATTTCGAGAATATATTTGGAAATCGTCGTTATCGGATTTAAATGGATTTAAGTACATGTGATAAGAAACTCCGAGGTACTGATAAGAATAATGACCCTCTTTCCACTACTCCACCCCACTGACAAAGCATCCTCATCTCATGATATCACTACACTTTCCCTTGTACCAATACATCTTGTGCAGTAAGCTTCAATTCTGATATATGTCTGATCCAGACAAGTCTATACCAAATACTGATACTAATCAACAGGTGATAAACATCACTATCATTCAATCCACAAGAAATATAGATCCGTCTGAAATGAATTTGAAGTGCACCCAGTAGTGCATTGTCGTGGAATAGCTACCTCTCTCTCTTTGCCACCTACATTGTTCACTACTCCATACAATACTATTGAAAATTTTGCTTTTTGTTGTTCTGCTCCGAAGAAGCATTGGAAAATAGGCCTGTTGATTTACTCATACTCTACTACTCTCAATGGCTTCCCAAAGAGCCGTATCAGGTGCCTCCCCGTCAGATAATTCTACGACCGGGAGTGGAGCGGGAGATGATATAAACCTTATGGAGGAAGAACGAGACGACGGAGAAGATGAAAATGCAGACGATGATTATGCCGACGGGCAGGATGAGGATGATGAGATTGATGATGATGACGACGATGAAGTTGGTTTCGGTAAGTCTAGACTGTCATTGGATTTGAAACTCTCCAAGTGAGATTTTACTGACATATGTTGCCAATCTTTCAGATGTGCAAGTTGAAATTGAGGACGATGAAGACGAAGGTGCCACCGCAGTCGATCACAGTGAGACCTACACATCCTTCACTTTGCTCCATACCATCTGGCTTATACTCCGGTTCCATTTAGCTACACGAACACGATATCTTCTACGGGTGTTGGCCGCCCATCCAGATGTTCGGAACATTATACGCTTTACCACTGACCTCGACGAGGACGAGCTCGCCTTGTGGCCACGGAGGCGAAGGAGAAGTACACCTGATCCGAATAGGTTCCCTAAAGTGCCAAGCACTGTTGGAGAAGAACTAATGGCGTCGGGTGATTTTGGATCCAATGATGCACAAACTCCAGGCAGAGATGATCGCATGAAGGGACGAAAACGTTTGGCAAGAAGAATATTAGATCGCGAGATAGCATCAGGGAACTTTGCAACCCAGGTGATAAATCGGAGAACAATGGCACAAGTGAGTGGCACATAGGCAGGCATATTTTCAGGCAGCATACTAATAGAATCCCAGGAAATGCTGCCATCCTCGAATGCCGATACTATAATCAATTACGATGATCCCGTTTATTCAGGTCAATTTTCGGATGACGGCAACTTCTTCTTTGCCGTCACCAAGGATTTTAAAGTCCGCATGTATGATACATCAAACCCTTATAAGTGGCGGTACTATAAGACTGTAAGCTACCCTTATGGGCAATGTAAGTGCAACCTTTTTGTATCATGGCTTATTTCGGTCCCAACACATAATTCATCCGCGTCTCCGTTAGCTCCCATCAAATCCGTAGACAATCTTAAGTATTGACAGTCATTAGGGACCCTTACTGATGCTTCACTGAGCCCTGACAACAAATATCTCGCTTACACCTCCATACGTAGCACGGTTTGTCTCGCTCCGACAGATCCAAATGATATGGGAGATCCCTATAATCTGGAGCTAGGTGATCCTGGCACTGGTTTCCGAAATCCTAGGCTCGACCGGCGAGGGTCATTTGGTATTTGGTCAATTAGATTTTCTGGTGATGGACGTGAGCTTGTTGCCGGAACTACAGGCGGTTCCATTGTTGTATATGACATAGAAAGTCGACGTCCACTTCATAGGATTTTTGGGCATGATGAAGATGTCAATGCAGTATGTTTTGCTGACAAGTCATCGCCTCATATCCTTTACTCTGGATCAGATGATACAACTATCAAGGTGTGGGATACGAGGAGCATGGGCGATAGTCGAGAAGCGGGTGCATTTATTGGTCACATTGAGGGATTAACGTATCTCGATAGCAAAGGGGACGGTCGTAAGTTTTTCATACTTGAATGTTCAAGAACGGTACACTGAAAAAATTAAGGCTATATCCTCAGCAATGGTAAAGACCAGAGCATGAAGCTATGGGACTTGCGTATGGTCATGAGTTCGGCTCAGTTTTCCAACATCAGGGCAAATGAACGTCGCCCGGGAACAAACTTTGATTATCGCTGGGGACGTTATGATGAAGATGATTGGTACCATGATAAAAACGATAATTCTTTGGTCACATTCAGGGGCCACAGGGTAATGCGAACACTGATTAGATGCCATTTCTCTCCGCCTGGAAGTACTAATTCAAGATATGTCTATTCTGGAAGTGAAGACGGTAAAGTATACATATGGAATATGGATGCAACGCTTGCGGGCAAAGTCGATGTTTTCCAGGCAACAAAGAATACAAGGCCACCCCCACCTGGTCAATGGCACGGGGGATGGCATGGAGGATGGCGTGATGATATAGATGAAGTAAATAGTCCGAGGTGGAAAACAGTAGTTAGAGATGCTAGTTGGCATCCCACTGCTCCCATGATCGCTGGTAGGTCCACCTATTCCCACACTGATTCTTTTCGGCTAACAAATTTCAGCATCTGCGTGGAACGGTTATGGTACTGAGCAGGGCACCGTCACCACCCATTCTTGGAATGAGGGTGCTGAAGACGATGAAGCCGAGCCTAAAATGGGATTAAGGGTAAATGCGAAGTTAGAACATGATTCTCACCTTTACCCGGCCCACTTAGAGCGCAATGAAAGGATTCGACACCTCAACAGTCTACTGCCGAATGCTGATGACGATGAAAACGACGATGACGATTAGGGCATATCCAGGAGGAAATTCGCAGTTCGTAGTTCTGGGCGATGTACTGTTAGGAGTGGTTAGATATTGACGTATTAGACTTCTTTTAGGATTTCCCAGTATCATAAATCCTGCCATCTTCGAAACTCGGAGCTATTCACAATGGTATCTAGTTATATAAATGCTTCAATATTCGTCTGAAAACCACATGAAAGCTGCAACAGTACCACTGTACAGCGTGTGCCCCATCGTGCGTGTATAATTAACGTAAGCTCAATATTTTTAAAGTTGTAGATACTTATGCGACAAATATAGAGGACCCGCTGACAGACTGGTTTGTGTCAATTACGCTTGCTGCCCGCACCATTCTGGGGCGACACCTTCAAATCATGATCTATAAGAAGTGAGAAGACAAGTCATCCATTATTATAATTTGGCATTTTGTGAATAGAGGAATCACGGTGCAACACTCGTCTCTCGGTGTCCGTGCTATCTAAAAAAGCGGTTGTATGCACGCAGGGTGGAAGTGGATCGGCGAGTGTAGTGAGTCATGAATAAGTCGGTGGGCTTACTTAAAAGGATTACAAGTCAATCGTTGTAGCTGGGCTTCGCGTTAATTACTTCATTTCCTCTAATGAAGCTTTTTGGCCGGTTACGATGTCCATTGGTTTTGGTCTTCCAGTAGTCGAGAAATATCCATCTCGCCAATATAAGGGAATGGGGGTGGAGGCCAATCGAAAGACTGCGAGAATGACAAGCTGTCCGTATGTTCTGCGGTAGGCTATTTGGTGTTAATGGAAGATTCTTAAGTGGGAAACTGGAATAAGATGGATGGTAACTGTACCTTTAAAATATCATGATTCAAAGCAAATGTAGTTGAATCGATTGTAGCGTGATTAGATGTGTTGGACAGGTCCTCGGCCTGTGTAGGCTTGCTCTGAGACTGTAATGCTGTCCGAGTAGTATCATCCTCCCCGGATCGAAACAGTTCGGGATGCTTGTTCCGCAGGCGATCTCTAAGATCAGTAGGCTGTCGGTCCTGAAGGTTGAATTGGGGATCTCTCTGTATCCTTGTCCACGCAGGCCCGTAAATATTATAACCTTCTCTAATTTCACGATCGTCTTGGCTCGAGAAGGGACGTTTCTTCCTCCGATCTGACTCTTTGAATGGCCTTCTTATTCCTAGCTCTTGAAGGTCTGTAAGATTTCTCCGATGGTTTCGAGGCTTTCGCCCAGGATTTGAACCAGAGTTTGACACATTCTCATCAGCCTCTTGGTAATCACCAGTCATGAAATCTCCGGTTAATGGGTCGAAAGTTACCAATTCCGTTTTTGGCTGTGCCTTTGCACTCTCTGCCTTGGTACTAGTATGATGGTTTCTGGAATTGCGGCTTCCAGCTCTAAGTTCTTCTGGGCAACAAGTCCTAAAGCGATCTTTCAGGTCTACTCCTGACCTATTGTTGAAAGTAAAATTGGGATCTTCCAATATGTCCATCCACTTCCCCACGCCATACTTATCCACACCAAGCAGTAGGTTGTTCGTCTCGTGTTCGGACCACTTGTTTCTTGTCTTGACGTTTTTTCTCTTTTTCTTCGTACTTGGTTTCTGGCCCAAGACTTCCTGGGTCATCGCTACGATCACACCATCTGTTTTCAAGTCCTCTCTCATTTCTGTGACTTTGGGGGCCAAAGCATTCAGGGTATTTCTCCCATGACTATCGTGAAATGAGCTTGATGCGATAGGCGGGAACAAGGCAGCCTGAGGGGGCGGTTCATGCAAGCCGATGATAATAGGGGGCACTACTTGTTTGTTTGATCTTTGCTTTTTGGGTGGTCTAGGCAATTGAACAAACTCATCAATCCCATTCTCCCTATGCTGTTGCTTTTTGGGATGTAGTGGTCTTGCGTTGCCAGTATTGTCATCTAAAATCTTTCGCAGAGATTGCGGAGAAGAACTACCCAATGTTCGTTCAGTCGCACTAATGTCCTTTCCCATCCCCGCATTTCCTACTCGCAAACCCTCTTCTGAGTCTCGATAATTGACTTCATTGTCGTCAATTGGAGCAATGGAGGAGGAATGCTGCGATACTTGTGATGATGGCTCACCAGATCGTGTTCCAGCATTGGGTTCCAAAACAAGCGGTCGGTGAGAAGTTTGCAGAATGTTTCGATCGTGCAATGGAGGAAGTTCTAAAGAGGGGGGGGCTGTGATGGCTTCAGATGCATCGTTATTAAGAATAGACATTAAATGGGGCTCAATAGTTGTACGCATTATGTTGTCATGGAACCGACATATTGTGAAGACGTTGAGATTGGCAATTGCTCTCTTGTATGATAAGGAATGAGTATGTAGAGAATACAAAAGAAATTGGCCCAGAAACAAGAGACCAGAGTCAAGAATGGAAGAATGGAAGAATGAAAGATTGTAACGAGGGAAAGTGATAGATTATTCATAGATAGATGAAATGATCTATGATGTGAACTTTATTAATAAGTTTCAATAACTTTTCAATCTAGTTCGTTCCAGATGATGAGCCTCACCAGTCACACATAATTACTAAGAATAAATATCTCCGCACGTTACTAGTGGATGAAAATCAATACTATCCAACTCTATTGAAATTGATACTCGATCATTTCTATAAATATATTACTTATATATAAAAAAATTCATTAGAAAATGCGACTGTATATCATATAACATTCTTGGCTTATTATTGAGAAATATTTAGTTATTAAATAAAGAGAAGGGAAAAAATCCGATAATGTGACTTATTAGTATACAGATTATATCAATATGTGGATCACTTTCACCTCAATTCACTCTTTCAAAGTTATATTATTCAATAATTATGAAATCAATTAATTAAAATTATAATAATTACAATAATCTAGAATCTATTATATTATTTTAACAAATTCTTATATTATATTTAATCCTTTTGTATTTATTATGATATCAACTAAAAAATATTTCTTTATTAGAATTTCTTTTTTCTAATATTTATTATATTAAATCTAAATATTAATTTTTATTAACATAATATATTAAGAGCTTTTTATTTAATAGATATTTCTTTTTAATATATTTAAGTTTTTTTATAAATTAATGTTTATTTAATATCTGATTTATTTATTAAAATATATAAATTTCTATATTTAAAAGTGTACTTTTATAAGCTAATCTTCTTATATTTTTAATTAAAGTTAATATAATCTCGAATATAGATATAAAACAACTTAATTGATAATAAATTATTTGAGATTTAATTAATATTGATTAAAAAAGAATTTCAATTCAATTATAAAAAGTTTAAGAAGTTTATTAATTTAGATCAAAAAAGGAGAGAATAGATGTACAAATTCGAATATCTAATTTCGAGAAAATAACTTTAGGATTAAATGAGATTAAATTTATTTTTCAAAGTCCTGATTTTATATTTTGAGAGTTAATTGATTCTTTATATATAGTTTTAAAAGTTATAAAGAATTCAATTTTTGAAATATAATTAATATATATTTTGATAAATCTTATCACGGTGCAGGAGATAGACACTAGGTAAGATGTATGATATTCTACAAGGAGTAAAGAAGGAGACAAAGAGATACTGACTATATGAATAACGAATGCCTAAGGTATCCATATAGCTATATATTGAACCTGTAATAGTACCTTCCTTTAATAACTTGTTTATTCTAAGTAAATAGAAGAATTAGTATCACAATATTTATTATAATATTTTAAATCAAATAAACAAAGAAAATAAATAATTTTTCATTATTTCCCTTTGTAAACAAATAAAATTATTCTTATTTTTGTTTCTGATCCTTTTTTGATTCTTTTTTGATTCTTTTTTAATTATTTTTTGATTTTTTTTTAATTTCTTTCAAATTCAATTAAAACCTGTTTATTTTTTGTTTTAAAAAAATCTAGTTTTTTTTTATTAAATTAATTTTTGAATTATTGATTCTATTATTATATCAATTACTGATATTAGCAAAAGGATTGTTTTTATTATAAAGTTTTTCAGAACTTATTTCAATAATCTAGGTTTCTTAGAGTATATATAATAATATTCAGCTAAAAGCTTTTTATTCTTTTTCAAATCTGAAACTGATTGTTAAATAGGGATATAATATTTCTATTTGATTAAATAATAATAGTTATCTTTATTATAATTATTTATAATTTCTTTGAAAATCCATTTTTATATTAATTCGTTTTTATTATTCTTTCTTTTGAAAACTCTATTCCTGATTATAACTAATTTTGATTTATTAATTGCTATTTGTATAGAGAATCGCTTTTTGTTATTAATTAGAAAAAAAAGGAAATAATAAAAAATCAGAAAAATATAAATGTTTTTTAGTAATTGAATAAAACAAAAGTATAAATAGACTTTTAAAATCTTATATAATTCGATCTAGTGATTATCTAACTTTTTTATTTTTTGAAAAGTTTTTATATTTCTAATATTAATAAAAACTCTTTATTCAATATTATATCGAAGTGAATTAGTTTGATATTGATTTATATTCTCTTTGTAAATTGTAATTGTTTATTGAATTAAAATCTATAATTAAAATAAAATCCATTTCATTCTTTTAATAATCTTATTATTTTTAAAAAATTTGTGTTTTTATATTAATATTATTTCTAATAAATATAGTTTATTAAACTTAATTCTGAAATATAAATTAAATCTATAATTAATAAAGAATAAAAAGTATTTTGTAATCTCAGATATTATATTATTTAAAGCGAATTTAGTTAATAATAATTATTATATTTAATTATTTTAATAAAAGTTTACAAAAATATAGAAATATTATTTTAAAAATAAGTTTACTCTTTTTATTTAATTATTTATTTATAAATAAAAAATTGAAAAGTATTTAAATATAATTATTAAGTATTTTAATAATTAAAATCAAAACCTGAAAATGAATTATATTCTTTAATTAGAAATTATATTATTTAGTAGATTATATAGTATATAAATATAATTAATAAAGATATTGATAAATTTATTTATAATTAATATATATATATTAAAGTATTATATTTTAATTAAATAGTATATAATAATCAAAATATATTTATAATTAAAGTTATAATATATATAAATAGGAAATAGAGTGATATATTTTATTAAAATATTTAATTAGATTTTGAATAGAATTAGTAAAAAATATAGAAAATCAAATAAAATTGATTTAAAAGATTTAATATATATATAAAGTTAATATATTTAAATATATATAACAATTTTCTAATATATTTAAGATTATTAATAGATTCGAAAAATAAAATCGATTATTTTAATTCTTTTAGAGTATTCTATAGAATTAAAGGAATGTATTCTATAAATTATTTGGATTTTCAATTTATTATCTAATAGAATTTATAGTCTTTTATAATAATAAATCTTATAATCAATTAGAATACAATCTTATATAAAAATATATAATATCTTTTTGAAAACTATAGATCATTTTTAAATAAATGGATTTTCGATTA